GCGTACTTGCACCCAAGAAATTCTAGATTGCCCAAAGATATGGGATTTTTCTTCAAGTCAGGAACATGTCTAACATTGGTGAGAATTCTCACCACACCATCGTGCATTTTGATTCGGACTGTACCTTTTTCAAAAACTTTGCAGGCAACATTGTTACCCATCAAGACAACTCCACTTCCAATAGATTCATATGTGGTAAATAAATCCCGATTGGGACATATATGATAAGAACAACCCGAATCTAAAATTCACTCATTGTTAGATTTGAAACTATTATTAGTTGCTAAAAAACAGTTCCCTCAGTCTCATCAGCAGCTACACTTGCTTCGGCAGTGTCAGTATTTTTGTGCTCATTTTTCCTTTCCTTAAGCTTTTCTTTATTTTTCAGCTTATAACATTCGAAGATAATGTGACTTTTCTTATGACAATAGCGACACTCTAAATTATTGTATCTGGATATGGAGTCGGATTTGCCCCTAACAAATAAGCCAACTTCCGCTTGAGTTCCACTAGCTTCCCCAGTAATATCACTATCTATCTGTTCTTTTGATTTTAAGATAGATTTAATATCCTTATAAGAGATATTATTCTTTGTATAAAGCATAGTATCTCTTATATGCTTAAAAGATGAGGGTAGAGAACAGTAACATGGCTTGATCCTCATCTTTAATTTCAGCATCTATATTACCCAATTCCATAAGAATTGAATCAAAGGTGTCAAGATGAGAGAGAATAGAGGTACCTTCACCCATACGAATTGTATAAAGCTTCTGCTTCAGGTAAAGTCTATTTTCCACCGTCCTCTTCATATATAAGATTTTCAATTTTTCCCACATGCTTTTGAATGTGGTTTCTACTGAAACTTCACGTAAAACCTCATTTGAGAGATTTAAGATGATACCTGATTTTGCCTTTTTATCTATGATGACAAACTTCTCGTCCGTCATTTTATCCGGCTTCTTCTTCTTTCCTTGCAACGCCAAGTCTAAGCCATCCTGAATTAGGATAGCTTCCACCTTTAATTGCCACATTCAGAAGTTTGCACTTCGGTCAAATTTCTCAACATAGGTCTTTGTTAGAGTCATTTTGGCTATTGAAACTAACCCGGTTAGATCCGACTCTGATACCAATTTGTTAGGATCGGGAACCCGGGTAGTGCAGAATTTAGCCAAATAACAGTATAATGACAATAACAAAGACAATGGAAGTTGGTAACAACGGTAATTAAAGCAGATAAAGAAGACACCAATTTAGCGTGGTTCGGTCAAATTGACCTACGTCCACAAGCAGAGAGGAGCAATTTCACTATACGAATAAGAGTACAAAAATTAGAGCAAATGCTCTAATTAATCCCAAATACCCTAAGATAATAACCTCACAAGATCACCCCAAAGAAAGGGTTCACACAAGTGCTTCCCAACACTAGCTCTCATACAAAACACTCTTAATAAAGGAGGAAAGGAAGAAACAAGAAATGAAAACTCAAGTTAAGGGTGGCAAGTGGGCCGGTCCCGGACCTAAACGGGCCAAGTGGGCCGGTCCAAACGGTCTTTTTGTAGGGACCGGGACCGTTTGGTCCCGGGCTAAACGGTCCCGGCCCGCGGGCTAAGTGGGCCCAACGGATTTTAAAAAATAAATAAAATTTAAATAGATATTAGAGACAAAAGGATGTTAAAAAAAATATCTAAAGCATTGTAAATTAATTATAGAATTGTGACCTAAATTTTATTTAATATATATATACACTATACTATATATACATCTTATATCGAATATAACTTTTATATATATATATACTATACTATACTATACGTACATCTTATATAGCTTATATACTATACACTTAGTGTGTGTGTGTGTATATATATATATATATATATATAGCTTATATATTATACATTTAGTATATATACTATACTATACTATACTATATATACATCTTATATAAGCTATATAAGATGTATATATAGTATAGTATATAAGATGTATATATATATATACTAAGATGTATATATAGCTTATATAAGATGTATATATAGTATAGTATAGTATATATACTAAATGTATAATATATAAGCTATATATATATATATATCGAATATAGCTTATATATTATATACTTAGTAACAATAAAGTAAGCAATAGTAGCAATTATAGAAGGAAATTAGAGAGAGATTGTGATAGATTGATGATTTTGTAAGAAAAAATGAAAGAATGAGGGGTTATTTATAGTTGAAAATAGGAAAAAAGTATAATTATAAAAAGTTTGGGGTTAAAACTAAGTTGGGGGGTTAAATGGCTATTTNCATTCTTTTACTTTTTTTTATTTTTTTTATTTTGTATTTTTTTTAAAATCATTTCCGAAATTACTATATATATATATATATATATATTTTTTTTTAAAAAAAAAAATATAGCCGTTGGGACCGTTTGGCCCGTTAAGGGACCGGTCTGGTTCCGGGCCGGTCCCTGGCGGGCTAAATGGTCCGGGCCTGGCGGGCCCAAATCATAGGACCGGCCTACGAGACCGGCCTAGGCCCACTAAAATCGGGCCAAACGGTCCTGGCCCGTTTAGCCCGTTTGGCCCATTTGGCCCGCGGTCCCGGGCCGGTCCCGGACATGGACCGGCCCACTTGCCACCCTTAACTCAAGTTTTGTTAGTGTGTCTAAAATGAACTAATGGCCTTCCCTTTTATAGGCAAAAAAGTCTTGGCCTCTTAGGTGTAAAAAAAGAGATACAACTTGTGCAAATGATGTCCACCACATAATACAATATTTTTGGGTCCCAAAGAATACTGCCAACAAATCTACACTTTGTAAAATTACTTATGCTTATGTGAGATGGACTCCATTAGCCAAAATATTGGCCATATTACACATGCTTTAATTCTGTTAATACCAGAGATGAAAGATCCAACCAATGCTTAGTTCTTAAATAAAATGATGGATTAAGCATTAGAAATAAAAATTTATGAAGGATACAATTGCTAAGGAAAAAAAAAAGGGAACAAGTCTTAACTCTTAAAATATGAATGTGAAATCTTGTTAATTTAACTTATTCTTAATCCAACATGTCACATATTTGACCACGCACATCAGGAAAAGAACAAAGCAGAAAAAGAAAGTTATTCCTACAACATGAATATGCTATAGTATATTTTTTATTGGAAAATATGGTTCAAATGTTTAATGCACTTTTTTTTTCCGTGGTATTATGTTATAATCCACCCCAGAAACTTCAATAAATCATTGATTTTTTTTTCTCCAATAAACATAATAACATATGAATAGCAAGCGTTTGAAAACAAACCAGAACACTGCCGAATGGACATAAAAGCTGAGTAGTTCGGTGTTAGCATTGACTTTGTGAATGGCTTGAACAAACCTTGATTGATACAGTAAAAAATTGTAGACATATGTAACTCAATTTGTTAGAGATCGTGCTGATAACGTATTATGAAATAAAAGCAATTTAGTAAAACATGAATAAGAAATAGAGATAGAGAGAAGGAAGAGATTTTTTTCTTCAATTGTGTGTATTTTTCTATCTATTACAAGTCCTTTATATAGACATGAAAAATAAAGAAAAATATGTCATTAAACATTTGAGATGAAGATCATAGAGAAAGAGTAGACATACACTATAATTTAATTTTTCTTGTAACAAGATTTACAAATGTGTTAGACAAAAAATTGTCACTAGTTGTAGTGATTAAAATATTACTTGTTGACATATTTTCATGGGATTGTTAATGTCTTCACGTGACTTCCTTCTATCTCTGTCATATGACTGTATTAACCTGACAAATAGTTATATTTTACTTCCTTAATCGATATTATTGTGTGAATTTAGATTAGTCGGATTAATAAATTTTAGATGTTAAATCCTTAAAGAGGAAAAGAACATGACTAGCTCACTCAAATAGTCAACTTCATTTGGACAAATTATATATTAGAACCTAAAAGAATGACATACTTAAGAAAATTGGAGATAGGATCGTACTAGCTTTTCGTTTTTGAATAAAATCTAAAACAAATTGTATATGAAAAGGTAAATACAAGTCTCATATTGAACAAAATGAAAAAATAAGTCTCACATATAACTTTCCTCTTGATTGCTGAGTTTCATATTGGGCCTATGAAATGAGCTCGACAATTTTGAAGGGAAATCTATACAGTATAACCTCTCTAAAAAATAAGGGCAAAGATTACTTTTAGCCTGCGAAAGAAATTATTCATCTGTTAGCTGTAAAAATATATAAAATTTATATATAACATACGAAAATATATATATATATATACACACACATACAAACATAAAAGCCGAAATAATGTATACTTTGTATATTAATGTATAATATGCATAAAAATACATATTGGCTAATAGACTGGCCAAATATGTAACTTGCTTAATTGTGAATGGATCTTTGTACAGCCTTTTAAACAGAAAAGCCCACACAAAAGCCCATTGGAGATGCTGAAAGCTTTGTTTCTGGACTAACTTATCCCTTACTTCTACATTTCAAAGACTTCTAAAAAATTATATGGGACAGCCATTTTGTGCGATGGTATTTAAGTTGTAGCCAGTTTTGTAAAAGGTTTGCACAACGTTGTAGTCACACCTTGAACTGCAGTGACGAAGCCAGAAATTTCCTCAAAGATGTTCAAACTTGAACGAAGCAGAAAAAATTTCCCCAACAAAGGGTGTTCAATATATGTTATATATTTTTCGACGAAGGATATTTAATTGACTACCCTTAGCACAATGTAACTTCGCCCTTGCTTGAACACTAATGTCATACTCATGAATCCCAAAAGGCAAGCTGCATGGACCAAATTGGTGCCAAGAAACATCTCTATATAGTACTCTTGATTGAAACAGATTCAGTATATAAAAGAGATAACACAAAATTAGAATTCTACAACATTATCCTTTTGGCAAAGAAAATGAAGTCAAAGATGTTAAACTACTGCAGAACAAGCTGCATCAATAGCCTTCATTCCACATCAAACCACTATGTAATTAGCACACATTAATTAATTCACACAATTATGATTTGGAATATATATACATCAAGCCTCCTTCTCTTATGTGCATATAATTCCATATCATGACATGCACCACCAATATTGTAAAGAGTTGCCCCCTCCAACTCTAACTACGGACGAGGAGGAGGTAAGATTTTATGTCCCCCTCCTTCATGCAGAAGGTGGTTTTTTTTTTTATTGTAATCCTCGTACATGTGAGGTTTATTAGTAGATATTATGCGAAATACTTAGCTTTTATAGTGATACAAGGGAAGTTAATGAAACTTCATTTCCTCTTATTTGCATGTTGATCACAATCAAGAAGTTCCTCGAGCAACTTATCATCCAAATACTCGAGTTCAAGAACTTGCTCATTTCTCTCGTGCACGGAAGACGAAGCAATTGAAGAAGAACCCGTGTTGAAATGAGAAGAACTACTAGGCAAATTATACTCCTCAGGATAATTAAGAATTGCCAAATTTCCCCTCATAGAATAAGCAGCTTTATCATAAGCCCTAGCTGCTTCTTCTGCAGTAGTAAATGTCCCGAGCCAAACACGAACCCCTCCTTGTCGCGAAGTATCGCGAATTTCAGCAGCAAATTTCCCCCATGGCCTCTTTCTAACACCTCTATATTTCACCTCTTCAGTATTGTCCTTAATTTTGCCTCTTTCGTCCATATATTTTTTTTCATGCAATAATATGGTTTAATTTTCAAGGTGGCTAATTTATAAAGGGTGCAATTTTGCAAAAAAAGTTATAGTTTGGCAAAAAGAATGGTTGAGAATGAAATAGGTGGAATATCTGAGGGACTAAATGTGTTCAGACTAGAAAAGAACCTTCCAAAAAGACCAAAAAGTTACGATGCAGTGTATCTGATTTGGTCAAATGATGGCTATAGAAACTTAATCTTTGCATGTCTTTATTTCATGTTTCTGCTTTTGTTTCAACTAGTATAAGTTTTATACACAGATAACGTACGTATATATAGTTTTATACATAGTGTACACTATCGTTATTGTTTTTATCAGTCACCGATTAATGCTTTCTTTTTCTTACCAATTAATAATACTTGTTGAGAAAAGATTTAATAGTAATACTTACTATAGAAATTTAAATATAATTACTTTATAGGTGATCTGATTGAATAAATACTTTTACATGGTCGATAGTGCATAAAAATTAAAACCTTTTCATTGTTTGACAAAATCGACTTAGAATATTAAGTACCCCGATCCCTTCTATTCAACTTTATGCGATATTTTTTATTTTTTATAAAAATTCTTGAAATTTTTATAACCACAAAAATGTCATGATACCATAATTTTCAAAAGTCTTTTTTTTTCCGCACCCAATCAAACAGGTTCACATAAAATAAAACGGATGGAGTATTTTAAACACAAAAATATTGGTTATAACATTGTTCAGTTAAGTAGAATATGATGCACATCAGGTTAATTGTACATTGCAATATTGATGGTGAGGTCATATGCTTATGTACTCAGCTCTTACGTATAGTAAAAAAAAAAACACTAGCCTTTTTCCCCCCTACAAAAAGCAAAAATAATTTTTAGTGTTGTGCGCATATATTCATAGTTATAGCTATATAATGAATTAAAATAGGGAAGATTAATAAAATGTGAGCCGTTTAGTTTCTTTAGTCGGATTTTAATGGGAACGTGCATGGAATAAGATGAATTAGTACATAAACAGTACACTTATAATAATCAAATATTAAAATTAGATTCGTTTATATATGAGCTATATATGAAGTCTTGCTTACGCAAATGCTATAAAAGAGTAGTGGAGTAGGGTGAATTATTTAAATTATAATGCACTTACATCAATTAAAAAAAATTGTACTACATGGAATCCCATTGATGGAACAGTCATATGATTTATTCGAGCTCTTTACATTGAATTGCACACATATCTACATGTAGCCAAGTTTGTTACAATGTTTTTATACGGTCGAAGCTGAGCCTGTCTTCCGCATGACTTATCGAGAGTAGAACATGATAGTGCAAAGTTCACCCTTGTGTGATATCGAGCCATGGTGCGAAGTTAGTGATGTTTTATACGTCAATACCACATAAGAGGGGGATGATTTGTGTGGTGTCCAATTTTTCGCGTGCACAGATTATGAAAGGACCTGGTTCTTCTATGTGTTCCAACTACTACTGTTGCGGAATAATAAATACAGAAAATAAAGAACACAGAGATTTTTACGTGGAAAACACCTGGCTCAAAAGGTGAAAAAATCACAACCTACGTACTTCCCAGTAGGATTATTCCAAAACTCTTCACTAAATCACTGAGCCAACAACTGCATTTACAAAACACTTTTGTAAACCTAGGATTAACTCTAATCCCGTTGTGGCAACCAACCTCTAACTGTTGCGACAACTTCAAGTTAACTCTAACTTGAATACTCTGAGTACCTATTACAATTGCCTCTAGATAAAGCTGAAAGGTACTATATGAAAACACCTACTACAATTGAACTAGAATAAAAGACAGACACTTAGAGCTGGTTCTTCTATCTGGTTCATGTAGCTTCAGGTTCGCACACTTGAATCACACATGAACTGCTTGTAAAATGCCTTGCTATTTTGCTCTCAATTCACGTTTAACTTCTATTTTTGTGCGTTACCTGTAGAATGAGAACATCCTGCGATTTATAGAATTAGTAGAGTAGAAAATAACTAGAGTTCTAATGCTACTCTTCCTTGGTGGAAGAGTTCTAGTTAATCTCAACTCCTAACTCCTTCCTTATCTTGGATAATGTTCTCGTTGAGTAAGGAGTCCTTCTCCTTATTAATTATTCAATCTTTTCGATCAGGAGATATCTATAATTATGCCAGATTTCGTTTATCTCCTGCATGCGCATCTCACGTGCTTTGAATCTGCCCGTGTCTATGCCTACTAGTGATGGATCTGGTTCATCCCTGAGTTCCTTTGTCAATCTTTAAAACTATTCTTTACTTGGGTCAACAAATTCTCCCTTTTTGATGATGACAAACTCTGTGCTTCTATAAGCTTAGGCCATGTTTTAACTTAGCTCAACATCAACACAATGTTAGAAACATTTTTCCTTTATCATCAAGGATCAGGTTCATTAGGTTATAAACATCACTGTAAGCGTAAAGCACAACCTTTTCCCCCTTTTTGGCATCATCGAAAAGTTACATAAAAAATATGAGATAACCAGATTTTAAAACTTACTCATGGCCACTGGGCTACTTCAAATGCAATCATGGATTAATCATCATAGATCAAGCTAAGAATTTTAACCATCAAAGAAATATAAACAAACAGTTAGAGTAAAAATAGTGAATTTCATTGATGATTGATACGATTCTTTCACAAAGCATAAAAAGAAATAAAAATTCTGAAAACATGAGCAAACAAAACATCCCAAACTGGGTCATTGAAAGGTCTACACTGGGCTAGAAGTTTAAGGCTTGGAAGAACTGGGGGCTCGGTTTATGGCTTGGAGAAGTTTCAACATGTCTTGAAGAATTCTATCATTCTTTTCCTTTTCCCTTGCTAGTTCAGTTCTGAGAGCATCTCTCTCAGACTCTACCTCAACCAACCTTTTCTTCAGCCTCTCAATCTCAGCATCCTTAGCCCCACTTTCTTGCACCAAGGCTCGCACCTTGCAATTTACTGGTGTGAGCATCTAATTTTTGATCGTACTTGAATTTTTTTCCACTTATCTCACTTATTACTCCATCTTTCCCACTCTACTTTCCCTCGTCCCCCATGCTTTGTCACTCATACTTTGTCCCCATGCTTGTCCCCTACTCACAAATCTCATGCCCAAAATCAGCCACAAACGCCAACAAACCAGGACCCTTTTGGCAGCAAATTTGAGCTAAAAACGAGGTCCAAAAATTACTCAAAAGGGACAGCTGAAATCACTCTAAAAAGGCAGCAAAAATAACCATGAAAGCTGGAGGTTATTCACCCAAAAGCCAGCAATAAAACCATCCCAAAAATATCATATGTTTCGGCCGATAAAAACACACCAAAACCTACATTAACGTAGCTTCATAAATCAGCCGTGTCGCTCCAACCACCACCACTAGACTGCTGCTCATAACCAACTGTAAAATAGCCCACGTAAACCCAAAAATGCAGCCCCAAAAATGCAGCTCTAAAGCCACCATAGTTGCTGCCACGAAACAGCCCCAAACCCATCCAAAGCTAGCTGAAACGCAGCACCAAACCACCCCAAAAAAATAGTCGCCGTCGCACCATGTTTGCCGATGAACAGAGTTTTATTTTAACTGTGTAAGGTCACCCAAATTCAGTCGAGTTCTTGAGTTGGGTTAAAGGTTTCTAGCGCCTGCGCGGGTCTCGATAGAATCGTGTTTGTTTGTTGTTGTTTCGCTTCATTGTAGCCGAGCTTCAGTTTGTGGCTGTTCTTAGACTTTATTTAGTTCTGCTAAGTTTGTTTCTTGCTGTCGAGGTATGTATCTCAGTTTTAGACAATGCAATTGCTATAATCGCTAATTAAATGTCAAGATATTATGCAATCTGTTCACTTTTATGTTTGTTATGTATGAGGCTAGTTATTTATGTATTTGTTGACTTTAAATTACTACAGCTTTGGTTTGGGAAATATGAGAATCATATGGCAAATGAATAATTTTGTAAAGCTGGAAGTGGGTTTGGTTTAATTCAGTTTATTAGTCACTATAGTTAACTCAATAGGAGGGCAATTGATGTTCGTGCCATGATTTCTAAAAAAGAATAATCAGTTATGTTTGTCTGATCAATTCATTTTTTTTTGCATTTAATTATGAATGTGAAATGGATATGACTTGATGAAATTTATTCAATTTAACATGTGGGATTAATCTCCTTCCTCCTTATCATATTGGGCCTCGCATTTAGCCCATCCCTTATGATCAATAGATAATGACATAATCCCAGAAGGTGCCGATGTAGTAGTAATATGATAATTGCGTCAGTTTTGGGACATATGAACAAATATACAAGTTGACAAGTTGGCAAATTATTGCTAACCATAATCCCTCTCTCACCATCTTTTCCATAATCTTTGGCCTTACAATAATCTCAAACTAGTTTAGGAAAATAACTTATAAATTAAATGTCGCCAGTATGCTTTAGGCGCACAGTAATAAATCAATCATCGTGATTATGTACATGTTCGCGTAACATAATTATGATTCCCAAAATAAATCAAGGTACGTGCTCGCGCGACTTTGGTCAAAAACAATTTTAGTAAATAAAAAAGCGTGATTAATTGTGTACACGTACGCGTTATATGATTTTAGCACACTAAATAAAACGGATTTACACACATGTGATCCGTTTCAAAGATAATTTTATATTTTAATAATTAAAAGCGGATAGATAAAACATGAAAACTAATAAATCACAGTTTGCCAAAATTAATCCAAGCCAAGTTGTAGTCAATAAAGCGACCGTGCTAGAACCACGGGACTCGGGGAATGCCTTACACCTTCTCCCCGGTCAACAGAATTCCTTACCCGGACTTTGTTTTCGCAGACCAATAATAATAGACTCAAACTTTTCTTTGACTAGGGATTCAAATAAAAGGTGACTTGGAACACCCAAAAAATCAATTACGAGTGGCGATTCAGTAAATAAAATAATCCCTATTTCAAAATTGTCACTTTAGTTAGAA